CCTGAAACCCTGGCATTTGCTGCTCTTCTTCCATTTGCTGACGCTGTAGGAGATATTGTTGCCTACGTGCCGCTCTCCTTTCCTTCCTAGTTCCTTGCATGTTCTGTCCATTTCTAGCGTTAACCATCTGTTAACACGAAAAGACAGACATCAGTACCCTTTCTATACAAACCATAAGGAATACAATGAATCCTAACTTAAGCTCTATTCAAGAGAACGCTACGCGGAAGACTTAATACGAAAACATCCTAGAGACACTTGAACCTGGAGTGCTCTGATACCAACTGTGATACCCCTCGGATCCGAGACACGGGTTGATCAGGCCCAGGCCCAAACCTGAGGGAATATCAAACAATTAATATTTTATAACGAACACGGAATACAAAATGAATTAAGAAATGAAAGGTTAAAGCTGAAAAGAAACTAAAAGATAATCCTTAAATAATTAAATACTTAAATTTGATAAACCACATATCCATAATTTGAACAACTCGGGAATCCATCTCTAGTGGACCCCTAATAAAAATCTCACATTGAATGAAAGTAAAATGAAAGATAAAACCCAAATCCAAGATCTGGAAAGAAATTCTACATCGTCGGTAGAATGGAAGATCGTCTCTGCTCCGCACGAACAAGCTCAAGCCTGGAACTGACGTACGCCTGAAAAATAGGAGTGGGTCAGGCCCACGAACAAGTTCTAACCTACTACAATCCAAGCAGAGACTCGATACGCATGTACATACTAAATAGTTCAACAATAACTAATAATCCGTACATAAATATATCCACACTACTGGACTCTCGCTAGGCCATGAAGGGGGTCTCAACCTGGATAGAAGGCATCACACAATACGCACCTGAGTGGGCATGAGTACCTAAACCTAAACAGGGTATACCTCAACCTTCACAGTCAGCTACACATCCAACTGCATATACGCACCCTAACCGTCGACACTGAGACTCAAGCTCATGACACGGTAACATAAAAATATATCTAAACTCCGTTTCTAACCATCCACAAGAAATCCAGTAAGTCACTCGGCGTATTCAACCGTACCGACTTATATATATAAGGATGATTGTATTTTATAACCCGTGCCCTTACTCCAAAATAGGTAGGACTTAGCAATTTGAGCTAATCCAAACCTAGTATGTCACCGTCCCATACCGGTACATACAATCCAATCCGTCCAATAGTTGATAAAGCATCGTTAATAATAACAACAATATCAACAATTCCATACTAAACATAATAGAATGCATTAGCAACCATTCTTAAAAATACCAATAATTGATTCACATTGAAAATATAAATATCAATGTCAACTACTCCTTACTATGCATATTGAAACAGATAATCAACATGCTTATTTACATTCACAGTTGATAAAATAATGACCATATAAATGTCAATACCAACAGTTCCAAACTAAACATGTTAGAATAGATTAACAAACATGCTTAAGTAAGCCAATTCAGAATCCATAATTTGATCATACAGGGCTTTATTTGTAATTATGACCTATTCCCAGTTTCCATAGAATTAACAGAGCCTAAATAGATATTTTCCCACTCAAATCTATAGCATGCAAAATAAATATAAGTAATCTATTATACTTATAGTTTCCTGTCCAACAACTTGCCGCACTAACCGTTAAATTTAATCATCAACTAATTTTCAGTGAAATATAAATTTTTAGCATAATTTCTATTTCCATGAACATATAATTCGAGTGGACAAGCTCTCACAGAAAATTTCTAATATAATTAAGAAATTAGAAACTCCAAATCCACACAGTCTACAAGACATTCGTAATTAACTCCATGTAATCCTAATGATTAATGCTTTGTGTCCAATTCTATGTTAATCTGGTCTTTGCATATTTACGTTTACCCTAGACCACTCCTAAACCATCCATTACAGTATTCATTCTCCACTAAAACATATTAAAACCAACAGAACCAAAAACCCACGAATAAACAACCTGGAGCCGGCTCCAGAATATTGGAGCTGCCTCCAATGGCCCTGGAGCCGGCTCCTAGACCATTAGAGCCGCCTCCAGTCCAAGGAGAGCCGGCTCCAATCCAATAGGAGCCGGCTCTCTCCCTCCTCTTCTTCGTGTTCTCCTCTCCGGTCGCCGTTTACGCCTCCGATACTTCACAGTATAGGTTTTCAGAGAGTTTAACTTAATCCCAGAAGATTCCAACCCTTAATTCAGTCCTTATTATGCTACTAATATGGATTAAACCAAGAATTAAACAAGAAAGTTCAAAGTTTAAACAGTTTACAATTTTAAAGCAAATTCAGTTTCAGTGAAACTCTGAACATGAAACAGCTAACGTTTTTAGTTTTTTTAAACATGTAATTCATCCTGGAACTATTGAGTATGCAAAGAACACGAGTATAAGGGAGAGAGTAAGGTTAGAACTTGCCTTTGAGATCTTTGTCCAAAAATCTCTACGCCGTCTTCTACGATCTCCGGCGATTCCTCCTATAACTTCCTCTGTTCCTCGTTTTTAATTCCACAGACGTGTTTTGGTTTTATTATTTTTTTCCTAAGCAGACTTATCTTATATATTTATAGGCAACCAAAATCCTAAGTCCAATTACATCTAAAGTCTGAAACGCGGCCCATAAACACAACCTAGTTTATAAACCCTGTCGACGCATTACATTAAACCTAAACAGAACTAAAACCCTAACCACACTTTTATACCTAGTCATAAATTAAAACATGTAATTACTAATTCAATTAAAGAAACAATAAAATTCCAAGTTAACGTAAAACAGAAAATAACATACAATTTACAAAAAATTAAAGCCAAATAAATAATTAAAACAATTAACTTAAATAATCACAATTAATGTAAATAAGTCAAATAATTAGTTAAACCAAAGAAAACAAATAAACCAACTAATTAATTCAAATAACGCAAATAAGTCAAGAAAAGCAAATAATTAAAAAGTCAATTAAAACATAATTCAAAACAATTAATGAACCAAAAACAATTAATGAACAGAAAATAATTAAACAAAGTACCGAGACTATCCTTTTGAAAATTAGGGGTATTACACAAAACAAAACAACAACCAATTCTAACCTCTAGCATATCCACAAACACACACAAGCCACAAGAGCATTACAAATCCCACCTCTCAACCTTCATACTACAACTCCCCACCAAAAAAAAATACCTCAGTTGACAACCCCATTATGAGCAACTACTTAGACTCCCCCACATATACTCTTCCCTTTTCACCATTGTGCAACAAAAAGTTAAACTTCTCTCATAACAACAGTCCACTCACTCTAAGTAACCAAATCCCAGTACCATCCTCTTTAATGTTATTCCAAATATTGGGGAAACTGATGGTGTTTCAATGAGATAGAGTAATGCAATGACAGATTTTAATAACTGTTTGCAAGAAACAGAACTAGAAGACTTGAAGTTCAATGGAATACTTTATTCTTAGAGCAACAAGAGCTTGGAAAATGCTTGCATTTCTAATAAATTAGATCAAGCATTAGTAAATCCTAGATGGATTGAAACCTTTCCCTTATCTGAATGTACCTTTCTTCCCCCAAACATTTCAGACCACAGTCCAATTCTAGTAACACTGGATCTTTGCACCCCAAGAAGGCATGTACCTTTCAGATTTTTCAATGCTTGGTCCTTGTATCTAAACTTCCATCCATCAGTTCATGCTGTTTAGACTAAATACATTAAAGGCACAACTATGTTTCAGGTGGTCCAAAAACAAAAACTACTAAAGCAGGTGCTGAGATCAAACTGCAAGAAGGAATTTTCTGAGGTAGACTCAAAGTTGCAAGCTGTGAGGCTGGAGCTGAGTGCTTGCCAAATGGATTTAGACAACACACCTAGTGACCACAACCTTTGATAGCTAGAGAAAGCACTTACCACTGAGCTCCTAAGGCTATGCAATATATAAGAGGATATCCTTAGATAAAAGTTAAAAATGTCCTGGTTAAGACTAGGGGACTGCAATTCAAGTTTCTTCCACAAATCAGTTTACTCAAGGGTTAACAGGAACAAAGTACTCTCACTCTTAACTGACTCAGGCCACACTCTCTATGACAAGGAAGATATCAAGATTGAGGTTGTGGCACACTTCCAGAATCTACTTAGGACCACACCCACAAGCACTCATCATATTAATGACCTTTCACCATTTATCATAGCTCAACTGCCCACACACTTCCACTGTTTCCTTGATGAACCACCACCCCACATGGATATACAGAATTACATGTTGAACCTTAACACAAGCAAAGCACCAGGGCTAGATGGATATAATACCCTCTTTTACCATAAAGCTTGGGATATTGTTGGAAGATCCGTCACTCTTGCCATTGCTGAGTTCTTTAAGAATGGGAAACTTTGGGGGAGGTAAATAATACTTACATCTGCTTGGTTCCAAAATGACAAAACTCCACATCTCTACATGATTACAAGCTAATCTCTTGTGTAAACACCATCTATAAATCCATTGCTAAACTACTTGCAATGAAGCTGCAACAAACACTGCCTGTCATCATTGATCCATCCCAATCAGCTTTCATCCATGGCAGAACATACCTTATACTACTCATATATGAGTTTCTAACACTACAAGAAAAATAGTTTTCTACCACGCTTTTTTTACCACGGTTTTAAAGAAACAGTGGTAGAAAGATTATACTTTCTACCACGATTATTTTAAAACCGTGGTAAAAGAATATACTTTCATTAACCGTGGTAGAAAGATTTTTTTACCACGGTTTTAAAATAATTGTGGTAGGAAATGTATTCTTTTACCACGGTTATTAAATAACCGTGATAGAAAGTGAATTATTTTTAATATAATTTAAGCTGGTCTTTCTACCACGGTTTTAAAATAACCGTGATAGAAAGTATGTTCTTTTACCACGGGTATTATAATGGTGGTAGAAAGTGAATTATTTTTAATATAATTTAAGCGGGTCTTTCTACCACAATTATTTTAAGACTGTGGTAGAAAGTGAATTATTTTAGGCGGGTCTTATTCCGCTAGTTTAATTAAGAAAAAATAAAAAATAAAATATTGTATACAATCCACACAGAAATTTCACACAAAACATATCGATCTTGTACACGGTGCGGCTTAGACAGAGAAGTGTTTCTTCCCATCAAAACCCTCTTTCTCTCCAAGCGACCGATCGAAGCCCCTAAGGATGATGAAGCAAAACACTCTCTCTCATTCACTTTCTCGCTCTACAAAACACACTCTCTCTCCTTCTGAGGTCGGCCAGCGAGAGAGCTTTCTGAGTCTTCGATTCTTCTTCATCTGTGAAAGGTTAGTTCTCTCTGCTTCTCTTTCTCAGCATCTCCTAGGGTTTCTATAGATTTTCATATTGTTCTTTGTTTGAATCTGAAAAGTTTTTTTGCTCCTATGACTATGTATATTCATATGTTAAAATTTATTATATATATGTCCAGATCTGTTGTTTTGAGATGATTTGTGCATCTGTAGTGTTATTTTTGTACGATTAGATTCATCTGTGCAGTGGATATGTATTTTTCTTTTCAGATGCACTAGTACCGGTAGATGATTCAACAGTTCCTCTTTCCCTCCTTGATGAAACCAGAACCTTTCTCTTCCCAATTTCTAGTGTAGCGGCAATAACTAGACGGTTGGAAACAATTGGGGCTTTTTACCATTGTCTCAGCCTCTGGTCACTTTCTAACTCTTGAAGTAGGTACTTTTGGTGTTGATGAATCTGAAATATATGCGTATTTTATATTTGTGGTATTGTTCATTAAAGACTGATACACTTTTGATCAAACCTCCGCTAGTTTGCCATCAATCGAAGCAAGTCTTGAGCCCTAAATGATAACACACGGCTCAGATTCCTTTGTCTGATCAGTAAGCAAACCGTAACTTTTTCTGTTCAATTCCTTCCTCTTGATTCCTTTTTCACACACACTCGCTAACACACACATATGTATATGTATGTGTGTGTATATATTGAACATATTTCAATTGGATTTTATTTCTTTTCGTCATTAATCTATGCTCGTTTGCTTTGAAAAAAAGAAAAAACATATATAAGTATTTGATGGTGGACTTGTTGGATCAGTTTACGAGGCTTTTAGGATTAGTCTCATCATAGAAATCCAAAAAATTTGATATCAAATGCTTATAAAAAATTTGAGAACAAGTTTGGATTTTGGTGGATTAGGATCTTTAGATTTTATTTATTTAACGTCGCTAAATCATTTGAAATTAGATAACCAATACTATGGTAAAATTTCTTCAAATTTTAGCAATTTTTAAAAAATTAAATTAGATGGAGACCTCTTAGCCTACCCTGGACCCCAAAGTAGGCAATAGTTCAATCATTTCTTGTTGGACTGAGTGTGTAGCATATAGGTTTCATCAACATATTTATCTTAATTTGCTGCTCATCATTGTGGAATGTGGACCTCAGTTTTAAAGCAAATTAAATAAGCAGTGCTCCATTGATGTGGATTATTATTCTCTTAATGGATTTGTCAAAATGAGTCAAAAACATGTGATTTTAGAGGTATACTTCGTTAAGCAGAAGAAAACAAAGTGTATAAGAAAAAGAAAAGTTGGAAAGGATAACCTTAAAAAGCTTTCTTTTATCTCCTAGACTCCAAAGATAACAATGAGCAACAAGCAAGTGTTCATTTGAATACATTTATAAATCATAATCCAACGTAATAGATAAGTGTTTTACATTAATTAATATTTCTTTGCCATAATGGGTGACGTGTGAAAATCATTTGTTGGTTAGTTATTCAAATTCCAACCATTGTTAATGATAGCATTCTCTACATATTTAAATTACTTCTTCTAAGTTTGATCTAGTGTTATGTGTGTATATACATATTACATACATATATATACACACACATATTCTATTTCTTCTTTCCATAATCTTAAATCTTTAACTAGGAATTTAGGAGTTAAAATTCAAAGCCACCAACACATAGGTAGTCCGATTAGTTTTTATGTATAATTAATTATTATAAGTCAATTTAGATCAAGAATTATTCAAGATCATTGTCTCTTTCTCAAAAGGCTTGTAGAGTACACCTCTATGTAATGTATCTTTAGGCATCTACGCACATGATAGGGTTGATGTAAAAGCTAGCAAACTCTATAAATGAGGCTTTTTTTAATATATGTATTTAGTATTAATTTATCAAAAAAATGTAATTAGTATTAATTTATTATTCCAATATTTCCTTATTCTTCATTTCATAATCTCCCTTATCTTGTAAATATATTTAGATAATGTTACTTATTCTTTATGGTTTAATATTTGTTTCTCCTTTATGATAATGAAGCAAAAATATGTTATAGATGATTATAATATGAAAGATACATGGAGAGTATGTGCGTCTTTATAGAATGAAAGTAATAAAAGACGTAAGAATTGTTGGACAAAATGGTTACTCTGCATTTGCCACCCCCCTCTTGAAGCCTGACAATGCTAAGTCAATGGAACATTGGCAATAATGTTCTCAAGAGACTATTGTAAGAACATAGTATAACAACTTTTGCAATTTTTATTTTATATTAAATTAAACAACTTATTTGTTTTCTAGGAATGAAGCAAAAAAATTTAAATACTTGAGAGCTAAGAAAATGTTGCTATACACGCAACGAGCCGCAAGGGATATACTTGTTGAAAGATGAAATGGTATTATTATTCAACTAATTTAAAATTTTCTTATTGTCTGGATGAGACTTTTTATTCTGGTTTCTGGTGATTTTTTATTTTTTTTTCCTTCTCTTGTGAGTTCTACCTACTTAGTGCTAGCTTTTCTTTGTAACTTTTCTTTTCTTCCTCTTCTTTTTATTTTTTTATTTTTGATGTTTCAATTTTTATTTTTTAGCTAAGGCATCAACAATTAATGTTTCTATGGTTGTTAAGTGTGTTGAAGTAGTTGCTTAAGTCGTAGCAGTAGTCTTGGTAGCAACAGTTGGCTTTATGTGTGAAAGTAGTTCTATTAGTATTTTGAGAGTGAACTACTAAAAATAATCAATTAGTATTTTCTAATCAAGTTACCTAAATTTTAGTTGTTTTATAAAATGGATTCGATTGTTATGGTCCCTTTTGGATTGCTTTTTTTTTTTTTTTTCCTTTTATATGTTTATGGATTCATGTTAGATTTTGTAGCTCTAATGATACATATGATAAATTTTACAGGATTTCAAGTTGTTTTCCATTTGAATCTCTCGTGTTAGTCTCAATTGCAATTGATGTTTATCTACTACTGTTTATGTCTTTTGACAAATCCTAACAATTCTTTTATAGCCTTAGAAGAAGAGAGGGGAAGTAAAAGAAAAGGAAATAAAATAAAGAAGCCTTGCAAAGATTTTAACAATATACGTTACAATGGATTCTGACTATTCGTTGTTGTTAAGAGAATTAGAATTGGATTTTATTTTTATTGCTAATCCTCATGGACTAGATCAAACGCAAAATTTTTTACTTTTGAATTTTAGGGTTTTATTAAATCTTTGGAGGTCTCTTGGGAAGATTTCTGAATGGCTTCAGCTGATTAAGTTGAATCAGGTACTTCACTCTTTCCTTTTTTTTTTTCTCCTTTAATTTTTTTTTTTTTGGGTAATTTTTTCCTTCATTTTCTCTTGCTTTCTGGATCATCTACTTTGTTGTTTCATGTCTTTTGGGGATTTTAGTGGAAGGGTTCTCTATATTTAGGCTTAACTTATAATGGGTTTCTGTATTTTTTACTATTTTGTTAGTTTTAGTGGTTCAGAAGTATACAAAACCAAAACTCAAACCTTTAGTTGGGCCACGTTTAATCCAAATTATCCCACCACTTAAAGCTCTCCAAAGCAAGATTAATATCATATTTTATATTATTTTAATTCTTCATTGCACAGAGCACACTGAAGCTGATAAAACCAGCATCTTCCTTTGCTTCCATTTTTGTAATTCCATTTCTGTACTCTCTACCAGTAGATTTTCATCATTGGTATATATATTAGATAAGTGACTTCTTATCTCTAACTACGGGCGGATAGGATGCCTAAGCCTTTAAGATGTCCTTAACTCTGGTGTTAGTTATGAGCATTTTGAGTGGCATATTGGACTTGATCCGTGTCAAATCACCTGGCCTGAACTTGATCATATTACCTGTTATATGGAATTTCATTACTTGCATATATATCCGAATTCTGAAGCCCACTTGCATTAATAAGCTTAAAAAAAAAAAAGTATCAACAAATCATGTTCATAAGCCAATTAGGTCAGTCAGGTCAACTCCTCAAGAATCCATTTCTCTAGTTTCAGATATTAGCTTCTTATTTTAAGACAAAATGTAGTGCTCCTTCATTAAAACTCTTACTGAATCTTATTAACTTTTCCACAATCTGATCAACTGCTCTCCCAATTTCCTTTTGGGATAAAATGACTATCATCTTCTCTTGTGATTTTGCTTGCTTTATCAAATATTGTACGAGTCCAATTTCAAATTCCTCTTTGTAATCTCAATCTTTGCTGTCTTCATAAAAGGTAGAAATTCAAGATCTTGAGATTCCCAGTAGTCTAAATCAGATACTGGTGTTGTTGATTTGTGTGTTAATTGAATGCAGTCTATGCAGCTCACACTCAACGTCTTCAGATTAGGCAATCTTCCCAGAAAGAAGGCCAGTGCAGGAATTTTATGTTGTTGTTTTTACAACAACCTTGTATATCCAAGTTTTCCACATTAATCATACAAGGTAGACCATCTTTTTTAAACAGCTCCTCAAGAATCCAATTCTCTAGTTTCAGAGATTTGACTCGGCTGACAAATGGAAGAAGCTGAAATACTAAACTTTCGTAACTTGGACTTGATTCAAAAGTACTTGTACATGTTAATACTTGCTTTGGGATTATTTCCTTGACACACTGAACTTGCTTTGCTTGAGTTAAGACCATGTTAATACTTGTTTTGCTTGAGTTAAGACGAAGAGTAGATCTTTCAAAGTACCTTTATTATAATGCTTGCTTTGCTTTGTTTAATTTTGGCAACTTTACAACTTGTTTTACATTAATTCTCTTACCTCAATTATCTTTGTAGGTCAAAGCTAGGATTGCGAGTTACGGGTGCAGTTACTTTTTTTGTTGCCGCTATATTTTTTGTATAGTTCATGAAGAAGAAGTTGCAAGAAGATATGAAGAATTTTTGTTTTAATTTGGTTAAGTAAAATATATAAGGTGTGGATCATGTACTTCTTTCAAATTTTTATATGGTTAATTTTTGTATAAAACAATGATTTGGAATTGGTTATATATATATGAGTTGTAAATTATTTTGGTTATGATGTTATTTTATTTTTATTTAGGGTTTTGTTAGGCTAGTAGTAGTTTTTTTTTTTTTTTTAAAAAAAAAAATCCTTCATAAGGGCTAAACTATTATTTTTAAAAAAAAATTATATAACACTTACTACTACGGTTATGCACCGTAGTATAAAGTCTACTTTTCTACTGCGGTTTCTCACCGTGGTAGAAAAAAAGACTTTCTACCACGATGGGGAACCGTGGTAGAAAATAAATTTTCTACCACGGTGGGGAACCCTGGTAGAAAGAACGTCTTTCTACCACGGTTTTGCACCGTGGTAGAAAGTCGAGACTTTCTACCACGGCTGTTTCTACCACAGTTCAAAACCGTGATAGAAAGGCTTTTCCACTGTGGTAAAAAGTCATTTTTCTTGTAGTGTAAGGGTGTACCACAAGCAGTCCAAGCCAGCAAGATATGCCATCAAAATTGACCTGAAGAAAGCTTTTGACTCTATCAAATGGGACTTCATGCTCAACTGTCTCACTCTCCATCATTTCCCAGAGAAATTTATTTCACTTATTGAAGCATGCTTAACCTCACCATCCTTCACTGTAGCTCTTAATGTAGAGTTTAAGGGGTATTTCAAAGGGAAAAGAGGGTTGAGACAAGGGTCACCTTTCCCCTTTGTTATTGCAATGGATGCCCTTTCTTCCATTATCAAGAATTTTGTGGACAGAGTTCACACCTTCAAGCATCACTGGAGATACAAGGATTTAAAGATCACCCACCTGTCATATGCTGATGACTTGTTCTTGTTTTGTCATGGGGACATTTCTTCAGTCTCAGTTCTTAAATATACCCTTGACCACTTCTGTTGCATGTCAGGTCTTGAGGTAAACCTAAACAAAAGCTCAGTTTTTCTCTTTGGAGTTGAGACTCACACTCAGGAAAGTTATTATCTCATTACTTGGTATTGAACAAGCTGACATCCCAGTGGAATACCTTAGAGTGCCACTGATTAGAACATGCCTAAAAGCCTCACATTGCAGCTTGCTCATCAGTATAAGAATAATCCATCAAGTATAAGAATAATCCATCAAATTAGTTGACAAACCCTCTAGAGATAAAGAAATCCCTTATTACAGCAGTGATGTCTTGGCCAACAATTATCCAAGCATGCTTAAAGAAACAAGAATTAAAGTCATCAGGTCCAGAGCTTTTATGAGGGTGGAAGGAAAGAATACAGCTTTGAATCTCCAAGTCTGTTGGAATTTCAGTGAGTTATGGTAATAGGTGGGATGGGACAGACTCGGAGATAAAGGAAGAGAAGGAGAACATACATGTGTACTGGTTGTAGTTCTGGCCAAGTAAGCTTTAAAAGTGTCTGATAAATTCCCTCTGCAGCTTCAAACCTTGGACAGTATTGCCATTAGAGTCCTTAATTGAGACAATCTTTCTCTTGTTTGCTTTGGATGAAAAAGATTTCATAAAGAATGCTGTGTTTTGATTCCCAACCTTCAACCAATGAATCTGAGCTTTTTACTTAAAAAACTTCTCCTCAGCCAAGCAAAGCTCATTAAATCTCTTTGCAATGTCTTTCTAATTAAGCCTCAGTAGATCATCAATTGGATTAAGATCCAGGCTTGTTTGGCATTGAATCAATTCATGCGATACCCCTCAGATCCAAGACACGGGTTGATCAGGCCCAGGCTTGAACTCGAGGGAATATCAAACAATTAATATTTCTAATGAACACAGATGACAAAATGAAATATGAATAAATATTAAAAGCTAAAAATAATACTAAAACATAATCTTTAAAATTAAAATACTTAAATCCCAATAATCCAAAACCTCCAAAAAGTAAACAACTAGGGAATCCATCTCTAGTGGACCCCTAATAAAAATCCAAACTGAAATAAAACAACTGAAAGAACATCCTGACATAAGCTATGGAGAGAAATCATACGTCGTCGGTAGAGTGAGTAGAAACCTCTGCTCAGCACGAACACGTCTAAGTCTGGAACTGTCGTGTACCTGAAAAATAGAAGTGGGTCAGGCCCACGCGCAAGTTCTATACTACTACAATCCAAACAGAGGCCCGATACGCATGTACACCCTAAACAATTCAACAATAACTAATAGTCCGTAAATATATATATAGTCACACTAAAGGACTCTCACTGGACTACAAGCCGGTCTCAACCTAAATAGAGGTAACATGTTAAAACGCACAAGAAGTGGGCATGTGTACCTAAGCCTAAACAGGGTACACCTCTAACCATCGTATCCAGCTATGCATCCAAATGCATATACGCTCCCTAACCATCGATCCTGAGACTCAAGCTTATATCGTGGTACCATAACAATTTATTTAAAATCTATCCTGTATCCTAGTAGTGCCGCTCAACTAGTTGTTTCCATGACCTTACAATTTAATAGGACTTAACTTTTGGTTAATCCATTCCTAAATCCAGAGTAGGTAGGTTTTGGTATTTTGAATCCAAATCGTCCCTAGTATGCCACCGTCCCATACCGGTGCATACTCCAACCATCCAGCAGTTGATAATACAGATGACTAAAGTAATTATCAACTAAATTCGTACATCCAATAATTGATACCAACAGTAGTAATGTAAGTATCGATAAATTGAGTAAAAGTATATATATAAGCATGCTCAGAACATGCAGTTCTATAAATCCGGTATACTATTAAGTTTAAATCTTAATAGCGTTCAACAGTCAGCAGTTAATATTACAGATATTAAAATAAATATCAACTAAGTTCATACCTCCAACAATTGATACTAACTGTAATCATGAAAACATCAAAAACAGAATTACAGTATGCTTATAGACATACTTAATCTATAGTGTTTCCCCAAAATTCGGTAATGCTAAGTTGATTTAACTCTTAATATTATTCAACACTAACTCATTCAGAACAGTTGTAATTCAGAGACATGATCATGATATACAGTTAAACATGTTACAATTATATCATTCGTCTCAGAAGATTACTAATTCAGAGAGAGTTAAACATTACTAGCTTTCCAATTTTTAAACACAGTGAAACTGTCTGATTAATTCTTTATGGTCTAAACTATTCTAAGCACATAGACTTATTTAACACCACATCTAGAGCCTCAATCTAACCATATACATCAATTAGAACTTTCATATTCAATCCTGAACTCAACTGAAAACTCCAGAATCAACCACTGCATGCAAAAATTGACTAGAAACGAAGAAAAAATCAAAAACTCAGCAAGGAGACGTCTCCAAAAAGTGGATCCGCCTCCTTTAGGCCTTGGAGCCAGCTCCCACACTTGGGAGCCACCTCCACATCAAAGGAGCAGGTTCTCTCTCCAAGGGAGAGCCGGCTCTCTCCCTCTTTGCCTCGTCTCTTCGTCTTCCCTCTTCTTCAGACGCCTTCTACAACTTCTCTGCCCTATGCTATGGTTCCCAGAAGTTGTAACTCCATCCCAGTAGCTTCCCAGTCCATGTTTAAGTCTTTATTACATTCCATGCATAGGTTTAAACAGAGAATTAAACAAGCAAATAACACGTTTTAATAGGTTTTGCAAGCAAGCACACATACTGTGATAATCCAAGTTTTAGTATAAACAGATAGTGTTTTCATTGATTAAAACAATCCTAGAAGTATTTAGGAATGCAAAGAACACGAAGCCTAAAGGAGAGAGTAAGGATAGAACTTGCCTTACACCGATGTCCGTCTCAATTCTCCGGCGAATCCTTTGTTTGTTCTCTATTCTTTCCCATCCGTCTCCAAAACCTTTCTCAACCTTACTATGTCGTAATTTAATTCTAAAACCCTAGGCAGACAACTTAGGTGTATATTTATAGGCCACCCTAATCCTAGGCTCCCTTAAACCCTAATTTGATTTGCTCGGCCCATAAAGAAAACTAGGTTATATTCAATGTCAGCTGCCTATGTAAACTGTAAACCCAATGAAAAGCTATACACAGTCACGTTGAAAAATAATTAACGAATTAACTTAAACTAAATCAAGTCCATTTAAACAATTAAATTAAACAGTTAAACCGGTAACTTTAAGTAAATTAATTCAATTAAAACAACCAAAATAATTAACTATAATTAACTTAATTAAATTAGAACAATTCAATAAGTAAATTTAATTAAATCACAACAATGAAAACCATTAAATAATAACCACAATTAAAGCAACAAAATGACACATGTGCATGACAATAACTAAAACTGCAAATTAAACAATAAATTAAATACCAGGACTATCCTGCACGATAATAAATAAACTGCAAATTAAATAATAAATTAAATACTATGACTATCCTTTTGAAATTAGGGGTATTACAATTCATCTCTACAAGCAGCAACTCTTGAAGAAATATCCCCATAATCGTTCTTGTTCAGCAGCTTAAGTGGTTGTTTCAAGGCTCTCAATCTCTGTGTGACTAAAAACATTTTTATACCTTGGACATGTGTATGCCATCCTTGTTGAACAATGTCCAAAAACTTAGAGTTAGCAGCCCAGAAATTAAAGAATCTGAATGGAAGGTTCCTCTTTTGCCTTTGAATTCATAATTTGGCCACCATTGGTGAATGGTCAGAGATTCCATAGGTCAAAAATTCACAGGCTGCATTAGGGAAAACATTCATCCAAGCTTGGTTTATCAAAACCCTATCAAATTTCCTTGAAATATTGGCACACCCCAAACTGCTATTGGTCCATGTGAAGAAAATTCATAAAAATCTCATATCCTCCAACTCATTATGATGCAAACAATTTTTGAAATCTTCCATTCCTTGGGTCCACCTTGAAGCTCCACTAAATGTTTCATTCACATGCAATAGGACATTAAAATCTCCCATGAGTGTCCATGGTACTCCAGGATCATTTTGCCTTGCAAGACTTCTCCAAAATGGTTCCCTTTTAATAGCAGTATTAGTAGCATATATAAACGAAGCCAAGCATTTGATATTAGAATCCAAGAGCATGACAGTGCAGTTAACCAATTGACTGTTTTGTGACATTGCAAGGAGAGAAATCTTCACTGGATTCCACAAGATC